AAAAAAAATTAAATTGCCTGTGGCACTTTCCTTGCATCAACACCGAAAGAGTTGAGTTGAGTTTGTGGATGTCCTAGGATGGGCAGAGAGGAGGTTGCCTTAGCCAACCAGAACACAAGGACAGATTGAGACCAGGTAGGATTATTGCACACACATCATCTGGAACGGTCTGAAAGCATTCTTGCTGGCTGAGGATGCATTTTTACAGTTTGGAATGGGCTAGGGACTGTCAGAGCACAGAATGGGAACGCAATGAGGATCATACCATGCGATAAAATACGTTCTGTTCTCATCACGTACTCATTACATTACGAGAACACAGTGTGATAAGCTTAAAAGATTCTGCAATGTGTGAGACAACAGCTTCCACTATCTTCCGAGGTCGCTAAAATGAGTACCCAACTGTTGGGGGGGGCAATGAGCTTACAGTTGTAAACCGCTTAGACATCCTATAGCGCGATATGAAACGGTATATAAATGAAGCTGCTTTGCTTTTTGCTTTATATTACTTAAAAGCTCCTTTCTTCACTAGGCTTGAGGGGCCCGGAGAACAGTCTTCACATCGTATTATCTACGTAATAATATGCCTCACAACAGTATACTGTTTTGTGTTAGCCCAGCAACAAAACTCTCACAATAGATGTGGCAATGCAAATAGCTAAGGCTGAAATCCTAGTTCCTTGGAGCAACCCTCATTGAACACATCCATTGACTTTGTGATCTGCATGGGACCAGACAGCCACTTACTATAATGTGTTGGAAGTATGTCAGTTTAGACTAAAGAAACCAGAGTAAGATTTTCATCTATGGTCCAAAACACACTGCAAAAATAATCCAGTCTGAGACCGCTTTAACTGCCCTGGCTCAATGCTAGGGAATTCTGGGAACTGTAGGTTTTTTTTTTGTTTTTTTTTAGATATTTAGCCTTCTCTGTCAGAGAGCTCTGGTGCCACAATAAACTACAAACTCCAACATTCCCTAGCATGAGTTAAAGCGGTCTCAAACTGGATTATTTCCACAGTGTGTTTTAGAGCTCTGTTGGCATAATATGACATTTACTCTCAGCCTCACAGTTCTGTTTATAAAATGGTAAAACAGTAGTAACTTAAGTGATAGGCCTTGTGGGGATGAATGAGATGACCATAGCCAAAAGCATCATTTATTAAAAGAATGCTTTTACGTTATAATATTCAGTGGTGGTTGTAGAATACAATAACCAGCTACATCCGTAATCACTTACGGCTGCAAAGAAAGAATGATGCTCTAAATTGTGTATGAAAAACACACTTCTTTCTTCTTTTTCATTAAAGGTTATGTATGATACTTCACAAATTAATAACAGACATACATTTAGGCAGCAAGAAACTTTTGGAGCCATTTTTACAAAGTGATTCTTATTTCCAAGTTGATAACTTTGTTTTTCAGTTTAGAACTATAACTATGCCATGGAACAATTGTGGGGGAAAATATGAATGCAAGCTTTTGCTTTGTTTGCATAATACTTCATAGAAATTTATCACACGGGGACAATTGGAAGTATAAATGGTGATTAACCCATGAAAATCCTGCAATTGTGCTAATGGTTTTCACACGTTGTGTTCAAAGTGATATTATCCCATGAATAATTCGTGATAATCCCGCAATTGTGCTAATGGTTTTTGCATGACTTCGAGATGAAACATGCTTAAAGTGCCATTATCCCGTGAATAAGCAGGCAAGAAACAGCTGCAAATCATTTACAGGTTTTCCTGTGAATGACTTTTTGTTGTTTATTGCCTGCTTATTCATGGAATAATGGCTCTCGTGATAATCTCATTTTAATTGCGTTTTAATATCAATTGCATGATTTTCACAGGTTAATTACTGCTTAAACTCCTAATTTCCTCCCGTGTGATTAGGAATTAGTAATTCTGGAGATCAGGGTTTGATTCCCACTTCGCCATGGGAAGCTGCTGGGTGACCTTGAGTGGTCACACACTCTCAGCCCCAGAAAACCTTGAGATAGGGTTGCCTTAGGGTAGCTGTAAGTAGAAAATGACTCGAAGGCATACAACCAGGTACATTTATGTTGTTAGTTGTGGCAGGTTGGGCAAGATATCACTCTCTTCTTTTATCTAGGTTTTAAGATCACTGAGACCAGGAATATTCAGCACACAAATATGATAGTTATCATGTATTAAGACTTCTAGGATTTTTTTTCTTCATTGGATTACAAGATGTTGTGTTCAAATCTTACATCAACACACTTTCATTTCTGGGTATTTGTGTATGTGTGTGTGTGTGTGTGTATATATATATATATATATATATAGTTTCATGGCCTTTGTGGACTCTTCCCGCTATGACTCTGGAGACCATGGTTCTCGCTTGAAAACCCACTTGGGCAAGTCACACTCTCTCAGCCTCGGGGGAAGGCCATGCCAAACCGCCTCTGAACAAAATCTTGCCAAGAGAACCCCAAGATAGTTTCGCCTGAGGGTCTCCATAAGTTGGAAGTGACTTGAAGGCACACAACAGCAACAACAAATGTGTAAAATAGCTGTAAATAAGCCATATGAAAGGAATTTTTATGTACAGTATATTCGCGCTTTTAGCTTTGTTTATTTATTTGGTCATTTGGTCCTACATTCTTCTGGACTGTCCTATATTTTGTGGTTAGGACCACCTTCAGAGTGTTCTTTGGCTAAGAAAACCCTGTGAGAAATCCTATGGGGCCGATATTGGACTTAAAAACACACAAGCGCCACGTCCGCCATGCCAAGCGTGAATCGCACCTCCTACTGCGCATGCGCACCTTAGCGGCCATAGGAGTATTTTCTTTCCCCCTCCCTGCGCCCTTTCCCAGAAGGGGACGTCATGTGACCCCGCGAAAGCCACACCCAATAGAGCTACGTCATTCCTGCCCGCCATTTTTCCTGTGGGCGCGCCGCGCTGAAGGCAAAGCGATCCGCTCTTATTATCGCTGACTCCCCTTCCTTTCTTTCCGCCCACTCTTTACCCGGACCGGAAGTGACGTCCTTTACCCTCTTCTAGCGTCGCCATAACCAGCCCGTTTCCTTTATGAGTTTTTTTCCCCTCCACTTT